TGTGCTCAGTTTGTGCTCCAGCAGTCTAAGTCTATAGCAGCAGAAATGAAGAATAATTCAGGAAACCTAAGTCTAACTATAGGATTTATCAAATCAGTAGTGTGAGCTGCTGGAAAACCCAGTCAAACCACACAGGCGATAGCCAGCTGCTGTTTGATGCCTCTGTACAAACTGAAGCTCCATTGTTCCACTAAAGGAAAGAGACCCCCAGATCATGATGGAGCCCCCTCCATTGTGCAGTGTAGAAAACATCTCAGGGCTCTGCTTGTCATATCAGTAACGTTGGAAGGCATCAGGACCGACAAGGTTAATTTTTTTCTCATCAGAGAAAAAGATTTTCTTCCACCTTTCAATGTCCCATGGGCAGTTCTGTGCCGTTGGAAGATGAGGCCTTTCGAAGATGTTTTTGTTCTTGAAACCCTTCTCCTGCAGATACCATCTGGTTATGGGACTGCAGCTGGCACCAGTGACAAGATGTTTTTGCATCTACCGACTTGTTTGTTCTATAACCCTCAGGATCTTTAAAAAGTTTAAAATAACATTCTTACTGCATCCAACCTCAACAATGGCACGCTGTGAGAAGCCTGGCTTGCAGATCAACAATCCAACCACGTTTAATGAGAGAAAGCTTTTTGCCTTTGCCATCAGGAGGCCATGATACTGTGGATACTTGGCAGAAAATGACACATTTTTTTTTGAAGACTCGAACTTTTAAATACGGGGTGACATTTGTAAAGTTATACAGTCAATAATTAACAGAAATATTTTTGCTTTATTTAGCCTTTCATCAGATAAAAATAAGGGGTTTGTAAGACCTCATTTTGTAATAACAACACATTATGTAATAAATGTAATAATGTAATAAAATCAGGCTTCAAAATGTAATAAACTCGTGCTTAAACCGCATTATGTAATAATTGATGCAAAAAGAAATAAAAGTCTTCAACACATTTTATAATACTCACAGCTGCATTATGTGAAAACATTATTATATTTTGCGGCAATCATTACAAAATGTGGTACTGCAATAATCTGGTGCATTGTGTAATAAACAATAAWAAACAATATTTCTGTTCATCCTAATCAATATACTTGTAATAACTGTCATGTTGCAAATACTACATAATTAAATCTTTATAAAGGTGGTCAATAAATACTGAACTTCTCATCTTTTATTTGCATTTTCAGATTTACTGCCCTGTTACAGAAATTATTCCACTTTTATTCCCACAATACATCTAAAAGTTTGTTGTACACACAAGTCAACCTCTTCAGATGTTTACCTGTATGATGAACCTTAAAAATCTGTAGTTTTTGTAAAAAAAAATCTGTATTAATCACACAGGGGGGTTGGGCGGTGCAGGTGGACCATCAGCTGCGGAGGGAAGGGGGGCAGGGTGCAGGGGGACTGTCGGCTTCTACATCAGAAGGAAATGAGGGTTGAAGAACTTGTTTCTAGTGTAGAGATATGCCCTAATAAAAATTATGAATATGATTTTAATCAAGAGTGATCTGACTAGAGAMCTGTGGCTCAGTTCCACCAGTTCTGTCAAAAGGAATGGGCCAAAATTCCTGCCAACTACAGTATTGAGAAGCTTGAAGAAGGATATCCAAAACTTTTGACTTTGAAGAAAGTAATAAAAATTGCTCTAAAGAAACTCTCCCTCATTGTTCTGGCATTTAATAAATTAAAAAGGTTTGGTAATGCTAATTGGCCTAAAATGAGAGCAATTTATTCAGATTTTAAATCAGTGTGTGCAAAAAGCAAACTTTTCTTTTTAGATAGTTTACGTAAAGTTTTGGTTTCATCTGCTCTTTGTCCCCATTTTCAGGATGTCAGTCATGATGCATGTCTCATTCACTTGTTTTCAGGAGGTTTCTCAAGCATCTAGCTTTTAAATTGAATCATGAGCTCAATAAGTGATATACATTTGTAAGTATAAAATTATAACTGTCCTTAAAGAGTAACTTATCCCAAAATTAACTTTTTTTAGCTGATAAACTGTCTAGAATGTGTCTAAAATGTTATATAGTACTGTNGCCTTTGCAGTCTTTATACATATCAGTAAAATGATCATTGGACTGTTCATTTTATTTTAACAACATATGTACTAAAAGGTATTTTGACAACAAATATACTGTATATCAGCTGTAGCAGCATCATATGAATTCTGGAATTTTATACATAGTCCACCAGGAGGCGCCAACACAAAAGTCAGGGACTTCACATGAGATTTGGGCCATCTTGTGGGGGATAAGCAGATTACTTCCTACTCGTGAGCGCCCCCTCTGGTGGGGAAACTTTTTCTAGGATACAAACTTTTTTATAACACTGGTAGACGGCAGCCATTACAGACGAAACTGTTTGTTGTTGTTCGAGGAGCGGCTCGGTCACACGCTAATGTCATTAGTTTGTTATCATTACTGAGCTGCAGGACTACTTTTTCCTCCTTTTTTTTCACATCATGTCACCTGCCTGGATCTGTTATTATCTCGCTCTGAAGCATGAACGAGTGTCAGGGGTAAGCTTGCTTCAACTGTTTTTTACGTCTTGGTCTCATTTCCGGACGCATGAATGAAGCTGATATTTCAGTTAAAATACACAAGTAAAAATATTTATCCGAGTATAATACTACCCCCCAACTTTATGGAGGATTTTATGGATTTAATTTTATGTATAAATACTTGAATAAATATTGTATGTTTTTTTATTTTATGATCAAACTGATTTCTTTTTCTTTCAATTATTTTTTATTTTTACTACCTGATATTCTTGGCTTTTTTTCCACACACACAAAGTTAAACAATGCCGATAATGTTAAGGTGTGTGTGTGTGTGCGTGCGTGCGTGCGTGCGTGAGGGAGAGAGGTTGCTCTGTTCAGCTATATGTGTGGCAGTGGCCTGTTAAACTTTATTTTTAATGATCTGTGTGAACTTGGTGATTCATGCAAACATCCAGTGATGGCAAAAAGAAAAATGTCAGCCTTGTTTACTGTATTCTTCTCAAAAGCACCG